TCTTGACATCTACAACATCTTGTGTCAATGTCTTGTCCACAATGATGCCAACACCGTTTCTCGTTCTATTTGTGCCCGAATACCAAAGCTTAAACCCTGAGTTTTCTAGATCCTTTGCCTTAAGACCAACTCACTTAGTTTCTTGTAGGCACATAATATTTATCCTTCTCCTCACCATAACTTCCACTACTTCCATAGATTTTCCCGTTAAGGTTCCTATATTCCACGTTCCTAAACGCATTCTACTCTCTTGAACTCTACCCTTATGTCCTAGCTTCTTCACCATCCCCCGTCTAATAAGATCAAAGTACTTCTTTTGTGTGTCCTGTGTAAAGTTGATAGAAGCATATGCTCCCAAACAACTTTGAGTGGAGTCGTTCGAAAAGAAGTTTCTATGGCCCCCTTGCTCATTTAACACTGCATCCGGGTGCCGATGGAGATACAGCGACCCTTGCTCACTTATCACTGTGCTCGGGCCACACAGCGCGCTACTTACGGGTGACGTCTAGCTTTAGCGCGATTTCGTTCTGGATTCATTGTCATAAGGATTCGACGTAACTGTGGAGTGCCGGCTGTCGACTACTTGACGCCCTCCCCCTCCTCCTTTATCCGGGCTTGAAACCGGCAATGTAAGATAAACTTACATAGGCGGAGTTATTAGTTCATTCAATCCAACGGACAAAAACAGACAGTAGCATAGGGAGAGAGAGAGTGCGGAAATCACTTCCCAAGAGAAAATGCACAAATTTCGTAGAACGAAAGAAACGAGGAGACATTGTACACACAAAGATCACTATGAATCTAGGCATACCGTTAACGTGTATAGCATTTTTCTTTCATAAAAATTAACTGCTTCTGTATTTAGTTATCCGTGGCAGACGACATTTTCCACAATTCCATGGTTACAAAAGGGGGCAGAAAGGATGCAATATTACAGTTAAACTTGAAACATATGGTCATTGTATCGAATTCCTTCTTTGCCCCGTCCACATAGACACACCTCTGAGATTTACAAAGACAAAAGTTTCTTCCTGACGTTAAAAGGCGGATTCTGGTATTAACTCAATCGTACAGCCCCTCCTGCTCCCATACTTCCACCAGAAATTCTATCATGTCCTGTAAATACAAACACAATCAGCACTACAACAGGGTGATGAACTAACTAAATGCAATACAATAAATCAAGCAGTTCCCACCAAAGAAAAATATGGACTTACAGACAAAGGAATGCGCTGCGTGTAGGGCAACTGTCTCTGTTTTGTTCCAACCAATCGTTCGTAAGTTGCATTCCAACTACAAAGGACATAGTTAGTCAACCACCGGGAGAAAGATAAGTGCAAATTAAAATGCAAAGCATAGTGTAATAAAATACTTCTACCAGATACACCTGCTTACGGGATTTCATCAAGTCATGAGATAATTTAACTCACCCGCTACTTTAAATATGGTAAAAGTATTAAGCAAAAAAAGGATAAATTATACTATTAAAAGAAAAATAAAAAAGGATAGCATCAGCAAACTAGTTAAACAATAAAGGTCATTACTTTGATTTAAAGCAGTGAATACACTTATATTACTCAAAACTAATGAACCGAAACTCAAGATTTCAGTCACAACCTAAGTTTTTAAAGCACAAGTATCATACCTTACTCTATTTTCCCGACTTTTTGGAATTTGATTCCTAGGGTTGCCACTTCCGATCCACTCAAGCCTGTTCTGGTTCCAGAGAACAAGACCTGCAGTTACAAAATGTTGCAAGTCAATAACCTATACACTTACAGATATGAAAGCTCACAAGAGCATGAATAATGATTATACCAAATCAGAGTAAAGGTTGGTGAAAAACACTTCCAGCACCGTAAGTAGATAATACATAGCATAAACATCATGAGTGAGGTTATATATAGATACATGACGTAGAAGAACAACTATACTTTGCCAATAATAAGAACATACTTCGCAAATAATAAAATTTACATGACCTATTCACAAGCATATTAAAGCCAACGGTTTATCTGAAGAAAATTGGTCGTGTCAACGTTCATTTGTGATACCTTGTTTAACCTGTTAATGAGATAAGTTGTAACTTAACTATCAAATTTTCCCCTCACCAAACATCTCATCCAAATTCTATTCATAACGCTTCCCAGTTTTTCTCAAGCCTAACCGCTTCTCTCTTAGTCAGGCCTCTACGTTTAGCAAATTATAGCATCTCAAGTTGGGCAAAGCACCAAAGGGACATAGAAGCATGTATTTACTACCAAAAAAAAAAGTTTTATGTATTACAACACAGATCTTGTTTGGTTCGTATTCATTCAAAATGACAAGCCACGAAATACTTACGGACAATTACCAGACCAAAATAAGAATGCTATAAAAACATACAATGAAAACTTGCCATTATTTACATAGTCGGATTGGCTGCTCATGCTACTACCAGCCACACTGCCATAGTTGGGGGTCTGGTTAGATGTGCTGATGGATGAGACACTTCTCTGGGATTGAACGGCGCTATTGTCCAAGTCATAAGTACTGCTGCTCCAAAACTCATCTGAGATGCCCGGTTTCTTAACACTTCGCCCTTGAATTCTCAATCCCTTCGAAGGTTCATCGACAGCAGTAATTGGTGTGGATTTAGTGCAGCATCCAAAACAACCACTGCTCTGTTTAAACCCAGGTTAAACCACATTGCACAATAAACTCCACCAAAACACAAACTAAACACATTTCAAAGGGATTTCATTTAACTTATCTGCAGAACTCTTGAGGTAAAATTACTCAAAATCCAGCTGAGCTTGCCACTGTTACCATAAAGTCTTCAAATTTTTGAAACCCAGATCGTAAGTTTCTTGTTTTTGAATTACTTTTTAACCTAAGCTTGCAATTTTTACCAAAAGTCCTAAAATTTTCAGAACCCAGATCATAAATTTTGTTACTTTTCAAGTATTTTCAATCTGACAATCAAAATTTTTACTACAACCAAGTCAGAATCAAGTCAAACCTTCCAAAAGTAACAGATTTTGGAGGAACCCAAATGCAAATAACTACCAAATATAGCAGATATTTTCCCGCGAAGTGTAATCGAAGACTTACCCCGTGCAAGCGAGGAAGTGGCGGATCCAGGCCGCCATGGAGGTGTTGAGAGTCGCCGCCATGGAGGCTCTGCGTCTGGAGCTTTGCCGGGAAAATTCAAAAGCTAGGAATCGGTTTCCATCCGCGGAAGAAGTGGTGAAAATTTGGAGGGTAGGGTTTCCGGATTTACAGGGAAAATTGAGAAGCGAATTGGCGAGAAAGTGATGGGGAAAATCCGCGTGGAAAAGAATTGGGGGAATCCTTGGTTTTGATTGGTAGCTTTTGGATTAAGTTTTTTAATTTTTCAATTTATTTAGTGAGATTAATTAATTAATTAATTACATAAGTAACCTTTAGAAATGTGTTGAGCCTTGGCGTGAATTCAAATATGCTTGAAGTCTAATTTATCATTTAATCTAATAAAATCCAATCATTTGATTAAAAAAAATTAATTATTTAAATATGCAGCAACTGATGAAAAAAAATTGAACCCCACTCTCACGTGCTGTTGTCGCCTGTTGGGACGTCTGCTCACTTGGGAGAGAGACGACGTCGTTTTGAGTTTATTTAACGGGAGACAAATTGAACTTGAGTGCAAGGCTACAGATTTGTTAAGAACCATTTCCTTCCTTTTAGGCCCCGTTTGGGATTGAGGTGATTTTAAAAAAAGTCACTGTGAAAAAAAGCCGAGGGTCATTTTTGTGTTTGGTAAACTGAAAAAAAAAGGCTTATTTTGGAAGCTGCTGTGAGAATAAGCTGAAAATCAAAGGAAAAGCTGAAGCTGCTATTTGCTGCTTTGAAAAAAAGCCAGTTTTTTCAAAGCACACGGAGCTACAGTGCTCCTTTAATGAAAATACACACTATCATCCTGCTTTTTTTTCCAAAAGCACTTTCACAAAAAAGTTTACCAAACACTCTACTGGCTTTATTTCACAGCCGCTTATTCTCATAGCATAGCCGCTTATTCTCACAGCAGCTTTTTTTCAAAGCACAGCAATACCAAACCAGCCCTTAGGCGGCTTCACTCTTCGACTAGTACACGTTGAGTACATAGGTAGAATTTGCTCCCAAAACCCGGCTTGTAAGAAAACGATCGGAATGCTCTTGAACCACTATAGGATTTGTTATTTTTCCAACATGGGACAATTAGCTCGTATTCCTAACACGGTCACATAATCACCAACAAGAGAGTGAATTGATCTTGATTAAGCAGACACACCATCCTAACTAATTGGCTGGATCCACGCATTTTGGTTGTTGATGACAATATTGAATGCCCGACAAACATGCATGATTGGCTATTTTGGATTTAACAAAAATAAAAAAAGGCTATTTTTGAATTTATTTTTGTTAAATAAAAAAAGGTGGTTGGTGGTGCTATCCACCCTCATTTTACTTTAATAGACTGTTCTTAATTTTTGACCTTCGGATTCAATGAATTACAAAAAATAAAGACATAATTTAACCGCTTAATACTGCGGTCTAGTAAAATTCATCTTCACTGGTAAGTGAGAGGTCTTAGGCTTGACTTTAGCCACAGGAAAATTTAAACCACATTATTACCAATGAGAGGTTTTAGGCCTGACTCTAGCCACAGACAAATTTAAACCACATTATTATTATCAGTTTATTGTGAGGCTAAACGTACTCCTCACCTCTTTAGTCTAGATAATATCATTGTTTTTAAAAAATAAAGAACAAAAATTTATAAAAGATGTGTGAGATAAAAACGAATGTGAGAATAGTCGACTCATAAGATACATAGAGATGGCTTTGCCTTTCGGATATGACAAACGAGAGAGAGAGCTGGTAGACCTGCCTGCATGATTTCTGAAGTTCAATTTTAATTTCATTTTCTTGAACTTTAAGCTGGAAAACTTTGGTTCCATATGATCGTTTGAAATGAAATATGGAAAGCTGCAACAAGGAGATTCAAAACTACGTTTCACTTTCACAAGGTCTAATTCCAGAAAAATCAGAAAAAAAAAGGCGTTCTTTACAACTCGAGCCATCCCATTTCCGGAATCATATATATCGAACACGTAAAGGTCGCTGCCAATGAAATCTCTAGCACAGCCAGTTTACACGATACCGGAAAGGCAAGGGAGAGACGGAGTTGCTTATGTAGTAGCAGATCAAAAGCTAAAATCCGAGAGAAAAATAGAATAGCTTATAACATTTTGAATATGCATGACAGAACAACCAAAGAAAAGAACCTAAAAACACGGAAAAAAATTTGAATGAAGTTTGCTGTCGTTCTGTTTCAAAATTTGAAGCTAATTGGCGTTTCTGGACAGCATGGATGCCAGGCGCATCCTCCATCCGAGAATCGTAGAGGGTATAGAGGGTTCTGGCTTTTGGGGTATCAGAGAGGCCAAACCTGCATGCAATCTGTGACCGGAGTTGTTCTCCAGCTTGGCACTAGTCTCTGCACATCTGAAAATAAGACAAACTTTCATATGGATACATTGCCGTAAGTTGGCTGCATCACATTTCTTTAAGAAGTTGTTCAATTGCCGTAAGAGAAAGGAAAACCAATCGGGGGGCCCCGGGGGGGGGGGGGGGGGGGAACAAAAACCACCCAAAAGGACATACCAATATTACAGAATTCAACAGCAACTACCAACATGTTCTGAAGCAAATAAAATCATTGCACATAGGTCGGATAATATTTAATCAGCGAACTAATGAAGAATTCAAAAGCTATCTTCCTATCAGAAAAGATTATCATTATGGATACACTCGCACAAAACATGGAGCATTCAAGCTAGATAAAATAGTGTAAAAGATAGCAACTACCAGCTCAGGAGTTAAATTAGACAAGTCAGTAACCTAAATCCTCGATTCCTGAACTCCATTTATCTCTTCTGGCCAAATCGATGACCTAAAGCATTTGAAAATCCAGGATTATCGTAATATGGATAGACTGTTAAGTCCTAGACTCAAAAATAACATTTAAATATACAAAAGGAGGCTCCTAGGCACCTTGTGCAGGCCTTCCAAATGAAGGTAAATGCCCACAAACAATAGGAAACTGATATTTCGTGTGCTAAATCTGCATGCCTATGCCTAGAATAATCCAAGGATAACTTTGTAAAACTACCCGAAGGAAGATGTACAACAATTTTACAAGAGGCAAGGGTTTCCCAGCTTTATAAAAGACTGGGATTGAGAGCGAGAGAAACTAAATTCGTCAAACAAGTATTGCTCTTTTCTATATTACGGGGTGCTTAACATTGAAGATTCTGAATATGACTTTTCCTTTAAACTATGCGCAATAGAAGAAAAAAATTCAAAGTAAACATACAAATGTAAACACAAAGATAAATTAAAGCACGAAAGGGATCATACATGGAGGACACTGTGCCTTCATACGCCAATGTCGACATGCCCTGTCTTTGCTTATGCTTGGGGTTGGCTGTGCAAATCACGAAAACACGCCCGCGACGCTTAACTGTCTTACAAAACTCACACATCTTCTTCACAGATGAACGCACCTTCATGGCTACTGATGAAAACACAAAAACCAAAAACAAAAATTTAACAACCCATCAAATTCAGCAGCCATCCAATCCAGCTCGAGACGAATAACTCGAAACAGATAATGGTTGCCAAACTGCGAATTGAAAAAGCTGCTTGCAGAGCAGTCCGTCACAATTTCAGATTTTGCAAATGAAACATCCCAATCCATAATATATTCACAAATACATATTTAACCAATAAAGATGCTGACTTTTGGATAGGAAATTAAAAACCCTAAATACCAATTTATGAAAGGGGAACAATTGGGCCTTGTGCAAGAAACCCTAGAAGCATATCGAAATGATTACTGTAAAATAATAGTAATTAGCAGAGAGGATTAAGCATAACTAAAAGCTGAGACTCTACACGTATTTCCATACATCAATGGAGGACAAGTACCTGGTGGCTGACGGCGGCGTTTGGCTGGTAAAGAATTGCACCGCCTCTCCTTTCAGTGAAGTGATTGCTGCTTCTCTGTGTTCTTCTTCTGCGTCTCGTCTGCGTACGAGAGTGTAAAACCACTGCTCCCGCGAACTATGTTGGGCCCAGTTTGTAGCCCAATTTGTGGTGGACTCAAATCTTCTTCACAAGGCCCATATTTACTAAAACCCCTTTTTTTTCTTTTTCTTTTTTTTGTGAAAATAAGGGATTTTGGTTGGTCCCTCACGTATAAAGAGCTATTCCATTTTTAATAGCAACACATTTTACCGTATACATGTTATAATCAAAATTGACCATCCTTTTTATCATCATCTAAACATCAGCTCTAGAAGAAGGGAGTTTTAATGAAAATGTCACGGTACTGTTCACTTTAACGAACAACCACATTTTAACACTAAAAAGTCAAACATGTACTATTCACTTTACCCTTTATTTTGTTCTTATCGTTAAAACTCAAAGTTTCCAAGCCCTTTTCATTAGTTTTCCTCTAGAAAAATTCATTTGATTAGGAAACCATTTAGTTATTAAAATGAATCAAACAAATTGATGGTTCATTATAAGAATGCTATTTATTATCATATTCGTCGAATCGGGAAGTGAAAATAAAGAATCAATATGGGATTAACTAACCTCCCGTAGTTGATGTGATCATGAATTTTCAAGTTTTGGATTACAAATTCTAATGTGAAAATCACACTAGTTTTTATTTGTTAAATATGTGCTAACAAACACGTGAAAATTCATGAGTCATAACAATTCCAACACGAATCTTTAAGTAATCACTAAAAAGAAAAAAATCAGCAAAATTTTAGTTTTCATTCTTTGTAAGTAAACAAATAATAAAATGACGACTTAGAGCCAACGAGGTTCCCGTTTTTTAGATAAACATGTCATAAATAGTAAAAAAAACCTATCACTCCTTCCCTTTTCTCATCTCACTTCTCAAGCACTTTAGTTTAGAGATGCATCATGACTAGATGACCATGATCATTGACTATGCCCAGTGCTCTTAAGTTGATGACAGAGGCAAACAAAACGTGGGAGTCTAGGTGATCAATCTTTAGGGGTTGAAATAGATTAATAAAGAAGTCAAAGATAATAAACAAATAATTCTTGGTACTTGGTTAATTGGCATGTAACATGCCACACACATCGCTCATTTGGTAGTGTTTTTAAAATGACTAAAAGCACTTATGATAAATATGCTTTTTGTAGAAAGTACTTCAAGTGCTTTTTAAGGGTTCACTTGTATTTTAACTAAATATTAGTTCTAAAAACACTTCCATTAAAAGCGTTTTTAATCATTTTAGAAAAACTTCCAAACGAGCTATTCACAAGCATGATTATGACAGAAGTTAATTAGTAAATGTTTTCCACTGGATTGATATAATTTGTTGGCAAATTACAAACAAATGCGTTTGATTTGCGGAATCTAAAAGAATAGTTTTATATGTTTGGGAAGTTCCAACATTAATTCGTGATTATGATTTAACTCTCGACGTCATGGTCACTAATCAAAGTACAGTTAGGAGGGATTAACTTTAATTATCAACACTACTGATAGTATTGCTTGCTCACGATCCTTATCTTCACCGAAAAAACATTTACTTTAGCTATTTTTGGGTTAAATAATTAAGCTAATTTAGTGGTGAACAAATTGATTTTCAATGAGCAAATTTTCGGTTTAATCAAAATACCATCACATACATGAGGTTATTATTTACTTTACTCAAATTATACCAAGTCTATTTTATTATTTTACTAATATAACTTAAAAATAATGCATATCAATTATGTTGTCTATTCTTATTACGACAAGTAAAATAATACACTACATAATTTGTATATCCGTAGCAATTGAAAATAAGATGTGAAAAATTAGTTAAGGTGGTTCGTGGACATATGAATCAAAGACCTATGAATGCTTTGATTAGAAGATGTGATTATGAGACATAGGCTCATGGCAAAATGAAGAGAAGACCCAAGAAGACTTTGAAAGAGACCCTAAAACAGGAGTACTTAGAGCTAAAGAAAAAATGAGCGCCTAATGTTCTAATACCCATACAACTAAACCCACTTATTAGAATAAAGCTTTATTGTTGTTCTTCTGATTTTTATCTTTAGGCAAGACGAAGTTTTCCTAGGTAGCCTTCACGTTTCCCACCTATAGGTCATACATGAAGTCATTTTTACTAATAAATCAAACATCTTGGCATTTGATTCGTTGAAAAAAATATTGTATGTTTGTTCTACAACATTCTAGTAATCATTTTTTAAAGTACATTATGGCAAAGCCACGATGAGGTAATATGAGCACATTGTTGCAATTAAAGTACTACTATTATAATAAATTTTTGTTAATTAAAGTTATTTAAAGCAAAAGCAGTGGGTCTTTTTGAGAGAGGATCTCGCTAAATTCTCTTTGTGAGGATCCAAGTATTCTCCAATTACATTCATTCATTGTACATCGTATGATCAGTTTTTATTAAATACTGTTTATATTTAATTTTAAATAAAAAAATTAATAATAATTTATGATCGTACATAAACGAATGTTATTGATGAAGGGTCATGAACCAACGATGGATCACTGAGCGGAAAAGCCTCTCCCCTTTCTTTCACTTTAACTGTTTACACTTTATATGGAAAAATGTTTATAAAGTCGATGAGATCATTGAGAAAGTGGATGGAGGAAGCAATGAAGCATCTAACTATAGATTTTGCAGATGTCACGCTCCTTTTTTACTGTGCTGTAGATGGGTGAATGTAGACCTGAAAATTTATTACACAACATATTAACTTAACACGAAATGATACAAAAATAGCAAGTTTTTAATTAATTCGTTAACAAGTCGGGCCGTTTTTTGGTCACACTTGTCAAACCTGTTAAGAGAACAAGTATGACACGTAAATAACATGAACACGACCCGTTTGTTGGGTCTAAATATTAGACATGATAATTTCTTGCATGACACATTAACCCGACATGAAACAACACAACTTGTTAGTCGAGTCGTTATTGGTTCACCTGTTAAGAATCCGTTAAAATAATTGGTTTGTCACGACTCGATCCGTTAAGATAATGAGTATAACACGAAAACGACACAAACAAGACAAATCTAACATGCATGACTCATTAAGTTTTATGAAATCTTTTGAAAAATCATACAACACTTAAGACATGATATTTATCTTAAGTGAACTTGCACATATTAACCACAAGAAGCTTTCGTCAATTTCAGGGACACCAACCTCCAACCAAAATTGCATCAAATTACTTTTCTAAACATCATAATGGTAGCTAAGCATTAAGACAATTCGACAATATAAACCGTTGATTAATAATTCAAACCTGCATGCATAATATCACAAGTAAATTGAAAGAAACTACATATTCTTGCTAAGGCTCATGGCATTGCCCTAGCAAACGAGATTAGTTACTAACAATCATAAAACAAATATTATTAAAAACAAAGATAAATGACACCTTGTAAATAAACTTGAATTGTCAAAAGTTCCGAAGTAATGTGTTCTACCCCTCTTTTTCCCCCAATACCCTAATGGCTAAAATGTCTTATTTATACTACTAGGGCACGTTTGTTTGGCCGGCTTAAGTTTCACTAGACTGGACTACTAAGCTAGAATCAGTAGTCCTGAGTTTGGTGTAAATTGGGATTGTGTTTAATGGGATTAAGCCGGACTCGTGCCGACTAAATCCTTCGCTAGGTGGGCTTAGCGAGAGCCACAAAAAACGAGGGGATTTGTAGTCCCGCTTCTGTTCTTCTCTTCACCTCATGTTGCTTCGCTTCACCCCAGGCTTGAACGACAACTTGCGGTCCCTTTCTCTGACTCTCTCTCTCTCTCCTCCTCCCTCTTCTTCATCTCAGAAGATCTCCAAATCTGCAATTTTGGGTTTGACGGAAACGAATCCAAGAAATCCAAGCCATCGCCTTCTCTCACTTCCCCGACTCCACAAACCCCGACTCGTTGCCGGACAGCTTGCCAGGCATTGTTGCAGGCTGGTTCAGCCGCTCCACAGGCTTGCGGCTCCGATTGAATCCACGGACTTGGAAAGCTCTCTCCAGTTGTAATCTTGCACCGAACAAAACCTGAAAAACCAAGCTCGATTCTTCGTTTTGCAGAAAAAAATTTGGCAATTAATCGGAAAAAAAGAGGGCAGGAAGGAGAGAGTGGGACGGAGAGAACGAGGGAGATAAAGAGGGAGAAAAGGATGAGGCTTCCACAGAGAGAGGGAGAGTTTTATTAGAATAAAAAAGGTAGAATTAATTAATATAATATTATTAGATATGAATTAAAAAATATAATATTGTAGTTTGCTATTATCCTTCTTTTTAGTCCGACACTGCACCAAACGCTTCACTAAGTTAGTCCAGCTTAGTCTAGTCTAAGCCAGTCCAGCTTAGTCCTTGAAGCTAGTCCAGTCTGAGATAGTCCGGTGCAACAAACGCACCCCTATATAATTAAAATCCTTACTAGAAAAGGTATTCTAAAAGCTAGTAAACATAATAGAATAAGATAACTAGGAAAGATATTCCTATTTTAAACTTTGGGAAATCTGCCCAGTCACAAATCAACCACGTTTTTTGGACTTTCAGAGCTCCAAAACAGGCTCAAAATGACTTGAATTAAAGCTTGAGATGTTCCGAACATAATTGAAGAAGGCCTCAAATCCAAAGGACATCACCTTGGAGGCCAAAAAGCCCAAATAAGCCCAAAACATCATTTTGACAGCAATGCACGCTGCTTATTTATTTCATCACCATAAATAAACCACTTGGTAGAAAATTATGAAACTTTGACACGAGTAAGTTGAGAGAAATACGAACGTCCTCCAATTAGAATTACTCTAAAATTCATTCATTTGATCACGTTTTGCTCAAGAGGAAGTCGAAATTCTTACATTAAGAATATAAATTAAAGTATCAAAATTCTCACAAAATAACCACTAAATTATAACTAAGAATAGGATAAATATATATAGTATAATATCAACTCATCACTGTGTATGTTGGCAATTTTTTATCCTTTACAGGATTGGCTCATGCATTAGCTAGCCAATGCCCTAGTGCAGGCGTTTGACGAATGACTATGTCCAATCAAAACCCTGATATATCTAGTGCATGCTGAGGCCTACGAACAAAACACATAGACAAAGTTTTCAAATTTCATTGGTGGGAATGATTTGGTGGCACTCGAATGAGTAGGTTCCAAAAACCAAAACTTTGAATATTTTGGAAGATGCAGTAGCTACTTTGTGGGAAATTGTAATTAAATAACTGAACAAAACAAAATTAGAATTAAATAACAAAAGAAAATAAAGATGGGGACGTATATGTCACATATGGGACGCAGCATGATCCCCCACAAGGAAAAATGCAGAAACAGAAAGACAAAGAAGCTGATTTGCATAATCTAAATGTTCCAAAACAAATGCAAAGTAGCCAACCAACAAAATTTTCAGTTGCCCATCCTGCTTAATTCTACAGGGTTTTGCTGTATTTTATTCTCAATCGTATTCTTAACAAGAACCTATAGTATACTAAGGTTAGAATGCACACGATTATACAGTACTTAAGTTAGAACACATGTAATTATACGTAGTCATTATGCTTTAACTTGAGGACTTAAAACTCTCCGGTTGATTTATCATAGGTCAAAGTAATCGGGCTTGACGATGTTTTGTTTATATGTCCCTGTTGATTAGGAATCAATTAATATGCTAAGATGGAGATTAGCCACTAATAATTATATGTTTTCTGTATAGGTACACATATAGTTGGCTTTGCTTCCTATCCATGGTTTATTTAGGTCAAATATGCAAAAGTCTTTGTTGAATTGATAGATGAAGCATCCTGGCACATGGCTGTGTTCGCACTGCATGAACCCTCGCATGCAAAAGCATGTGATATATGTACAAAACTCCACAATGTCCAAACCCTAACCAGTGGTGGACAGGTCCAACTACGCATGCATGTGATATATGTACAGCACTCTACAATGTCCAAACCCTAACCTGTAGTGTACGCAAGTGACTCTTTATCATAGTGATAGAAAAATATTGAGCTTTTGTATGATGACGTGAGTTTGAACCCCGTTAGTGGCTAATCTAACAAAATTTATTGTTTAACAAAACAATAAAAAAAATATAGTGTACAGGTCCAACAGGCTCAAGACATGAAACAGACCACCCAAAACAATGCTTCTTTGTAAAAGAGTTTGTACTCAGTTGATTAAGAATATTTATTTTTGTACTCAAAGTTTTGAGTTCGGTTTGCTTTCTCAACATTGCTTGTACAATAATATAAAAATAACGGCTTTGCTCCTTGGAAGTTGGCATCCCTCTATTATGCACACGTGTTCAACAGTGTAGCAAGTAAGTAGAAATGTACCCAGATAGGATCTTCGCCAGATACTCTTTGTGATCTTTTAATTCTGTTCATTCATCATATATCGTGTGATTAGTTTTCGTCATGTACTGTTTGTATTCTATTTTAAATAATATAATTTAAAATCATTTCTGACCGCATGATGCCCGATGAAAGGAGATGATTAAATGGATACTGAGGATCCTCACAAAGAGGATCTGACGAGATCTATCTCAAATGTATCGAGTCTTTTCTGACCTATATTTCTCACTGAGACCCCCTAAAGACCAATGCTTAGCTCCATCCTTCCCTTATAAGTTGTCAAGCATTCTACAATTACAAAAAATTTATCCGAATAATTACAAATTGACATAGAAATCAATCCTTAAAAGAAATTTTCTGCATACATGTCAAACTGTTTAATCTTTCTTCCATGTCCCAACCACCAACCCAATGTCACGCATAAGTCACATTGTCATCACAAAGACTTAACCTAAGGTCAAGGTTTCTCAATTATCCAGAAACCTAAAAGTTATAGGATTGGATAAGCCTTAATGTTGGAACTTGTCACACTATTTTGCAATTCAACCATTTATTTTTATTTTTTGGTTGCTACTTGATGAATTGAGATCCAGATCTTTGTGTTCGAAATCTACAAATTGAGAGATTTAAAACACTCAATTTTAATCCTACAACCCTATTAGTCCCTTTCACTAGCCCATTTCCTAACAATTCAAAATTTTGAACGAATCAGATCTCTTTTTCTCTCTTAAACGGTTCAGGATCTATTGATCCGTGGGGTCTGTACACAAAAATCCATCTCACTCCTTACTTGCTAGCAATACATGCAAAAAGGTTGTACCTTTGTTGAAATTTCTCAGTTGCCTAATAAATTCACAATATCGGGATTTTCTAGTATGTATTGACATACAGTATATTACGCTATTGTAACTGTATGTCGAACCATACATTACTCATGTATACCATACATGGTATGCCAACATCAGAACGTAATTGAAATTTTCTTAAAATATCAACAAAAGTGTCGGTATTAACAGAAGATTCCACCTTGAACCCAATCATTTTACAAGAAGAAACATAAAACGGCAGCAACTAACCAAACGTGTGGAACCCAGCTACATACAAGTTCCGAATATTCCTTCCAACCTACTTAACCTCTCATCAGCAAAAGAAAAAAAAACTAAAATTTGTACAAATTAAAGAGAGAGAGAGAGAAAAAACAAAAAAGACTCGATCATTACAGAAAATTAACCCCAAAAATATACAGAACAGATGTGGGAATTCATCAGTAGGAGTAGGCCAATCGGTGACAGCCACGATCCCTGAGAATCCCATTGTACAGAGCCGCCCGATTAGCAGGCATGGATCCTCTGTATTTTTGGGAAGTTGCAGAAGATGCAGAAGATGATGAAGATTTGGAAGAAGCAGTGGGAATTATCTGGTACTGCCGTCTAAACTCTTGATTGTCTCCAATCGGATCCACGACGTCCTCTGCAAAGTGCACCCTCTTGTTCTTCTTCCTCCTCTTCTTTCCATCTGCAAACCCACCAAGAAAAACAAAGTCAGCCATGTATGAAACTACCAAATTAACCTTGAAACGAAGAAAACAGAATGAAACAGAGGAGTGAATGTTAAGCATACCAGAAGATATACAAGATCGTAGTATTTGAGGGGAGGACTGATGGGTAATTTCACCAACTGGGTATCCGTGAGGATTGGGTAGGCATTTCTGGAGGCGGAGGGCGAGGAGGATGAAGGTGCCGGAAACCGCCATGGCAGTGGCCAAGACCACCCCTTGAGAGCCTAACACTGAAGACATAGTCTTTTTTCTGTGTTTTTTCTCTGCAAGAAAACCAAGAAGTAGGAAGAAACAGAAAGCCCAGTTGGGATTTGGAGGCAGATAAAAGAAACAGAAAGCAGAAAGAAGTAGAGTTTAGATGAAAGAGGGAGAGAGAAGTGTGTGAGTCTTATAGTAGTATAATATAATGGGGGCAGAGGGAGAGAGGAGGGGAAGATAAATAGTTATGGTGGTGCAGTGGGAACAACATGTTAATATGACACTGAAATCAAACAAATGGGATTATTTTATTGTTATAAATTTATTTGATCAACCATTGGTCATGAGTTTTTGGAATGATATCATCTCTGGATCTCTACCTCTGAAGTAGACGGACTTATAAATCAGAGTTATTTGAGAGAGAGAGAGAGATTAGGGCCTGCGTTAATGTGTGAGGTGGACCTGTGAGATTGACTAATAAAGCTACAATATTTAAATTGAATGGTTCGAATTTATTGAATGGTTGGAATTTTCGGATCCGTTTACTCCGTAGGCAGAGATCTGGATATGATCTCATTCTGAGTTTTTATTTTATTTTTTCAGTTTAGATTGGTAAAAATACTAAAATGTAAATGTGGGTTACCTTTTGTGTATATGTGTAATTTCATTTTTTACAAGACGGGTTCGTTTAGCTTTCATAAGAATAATTTATGTTCTTAAATGCTTTGTTAGAGAGTGTTTTGATTCTCCGCTTAGTATTACAATATAATGACATTATTTCTCACTTAGTGGTGATAAGTATTAAATTAGACTTTCATGAATAATAAGTTTAATATTCTCAAATTATAATAGCACACTCGTTATGTGAAGTTAACCCAAATTTGTCACTCAGATACGTTGAAACTTTTAATAAAAATAAATAGAAATTCATGGAAATACACTTGAATGATACTTCTTCAAGAATTGCTTGTATAACCCAAAAACACTTTTAAGTCTTTTTACAAACAATATTTTAGTCATTCTAAAAAGCAGTCTCGGCAATATTTTAAAGCACTATAAAGGGCCACTATAATGGGGACTTTTGCTGGTGCACCGCACGGCAATGCTAAACGAAAAAGAAACTTCCATGATGACGTCAATTGCTTGTTTGGAAAATGGGGAAAGGAGTGGGACTAACTCTACCTCAGCAGCACTTTTGGTCACTTTCAGTCTTATGCAATGTGAGGGTTAATCTGGAATCGTAGCTACGTGCAATGCACCTTTTGAACACCAATGGTTAGCCATATAAAGTTTTGATCGAATTTCCGATCAAATGAAAAGCGTAACGATCTAGACACTATCTCAAAAGGATGATCGTTTCATGACTGATTCTTGAATTTGATGATAGATTGCACTTGATTGTAAAGGAGTGTTAGCGGTATAAAATGAGGTTCAATTAATAGGTGTTTTTTTTGCTTTGAATGTAGGCAGCCGTTGTCGTGCATGATATGTCAAGCCGTTCCATGCCACAATATTGGAGTTCTTGGTGGTCAGATCTAGTTGAAGATAGGAAAATGACTTGGGGCCAATGGAGGTTTCGAGGGCTAGAGCTTGGGAGTAGTAGGAATACACTTTTATCATGACTTTCAGGTTAATGAGACAACAATATGTATATATTTATCTCCCATATCATTGTATTATTAGCACAGAATATTATGATGAATGCGTGTTATGATATTCTTCTAAAATTTCGACGAGAACAATAATAATAAAATATAAATAAAAAATACGTAGGAAGCTTGCAGCAAGCACATGCATTCCTCAGCAGTTAATATTCCCCAGTCAGAAAGTTACACGTGTGGCTTGTTAGGTTCCCAAAAGCCAATAACCAAAAGGCCTCAGATTCTGGTTGGATATTGGTTAGAAATTATGGGGAACATACAATTGGTTAGAAATTATTTTATATTTTCAGAGAGTTTGAGTAAGATAAGGAACAAGCATATATCTGCCTTTGATTATATTGGCAGGCGTTCAAGGAAGGAGAAAACTTCGCAGAGATGAGAAGATAGAATTGGGGCAATATGTCTAACCTAAAATAGTTGATCGGATAAAGATTTAAATACTTTGTGATAATCAATATATCAGTCACTTATTGTAAATAGAAAATATTTTACACGGCCGTTTGTGTTGTGTCTCACCTAACCTAAACTTGACCCTACTATATTAATTCTAATATCTCTTACGAACAACCAACAACAACAAAATTTTATCCTACTAATAGCCATCTCCATATAATGAAATAAGGCTTTGTTATTGTTTTTTTGTTGTTATTGTTGGTTGTTCGTATGAGATGTTAGAATCAGTAGAGTGGGGTCGAGTTTGTATTAGGTGAAACATAGTACAATCGTGCTCGCTATTGGTGTGAATAAGTCGCATGGCCAGCTGGTTTGGAAGGTTGGACCATAAATTTTCATGATTACGAGTTAGACAAGTTAGAAGTTTAATCACGAAAAATGTTTTAATTTATGATATAAGCTAAATGTGATATGCATGTGAGTGTCTCACTCATCATGTAACACACTTATTTTCTTCTTCTGGTGCCAGTCGTATTGTTGACCCGGTCGCCTTTATGTGAACACAAAGCCACTAGGCTACAGGGAGACCGGCAACAATGACTCTTGATAATATATGTTCCATGTTTTTTTTGTCCAATTAGGAGGTTTTTGAGAGGGAGAGACATGAAAGGGTGTTCATGAAGATGGTCTCACTCATCAAAACCAATAATTATCTTCGAAATTTCTTATCAGCAAAAGCAGTGATGTTGAAAACTAAAAACAACTTCAACCAAAAGAAAAGGAAACTTAAGAGGGAAAACAAAATTCTTTTACAAGGACAAATTTGGGAAGAGGAGGTAGGTGAGGAGGGTATTGAAAGATATATAGTGATATTTGAGAAAATTACAAGCATAAAAATACCACAAGATACAACTTATATTAATCCACTTATGTTGTAGTCACATATATCTATATTATTATTAACAAAACACTGCTTGTCAACCAAAAACTCATTAAATTACAACATAACTAAATTTAAAAAACAAATTAATCAAGTATGGATAAATGTGTCAAACAACTAATTAAAACAATAAAAAAAAGTTTAAAAGAAACCCACGTTCCACTTCAACCTTCTAGTCTTACTTCCCTAAGAGTAAGTCCATCCCTAAAAATGCACTGGCATCCAGCTCATTTAATCCACTCAAATGAATAGTACTTGACTCTCATGAATAGTAATTGATCAAATGCATCTCTATCCCTAAAAAATGCGTTGACACACAGCCTTATCAATTCGTATTAAATTTTTTTATAAAATATGTGGCTTATTTCGGTTAACTAAAATATGTGGCTTGTTTTGGACAAAAATATCCTTCCCTTATTCAATATTTTCACCATCTAATCCCAGAAAAACCTAATCTTCTATAATCTCATCACATTTCACAGCTATACTCCGCAACCGCAGTCGTAGTGGGACGAAATCTTGACATCTCTGCATCTCCACATCTTCCTCGCTTTGCCCCTCCCATTTGCTTCATCTTCCTCGCTTCACCCATCCCACTAAGCTCGTCTTGAGCTTTTCGCAGTTCAGAGAAAACCTAAATACCACAGCCTAATTGAATATCGGTTGGTGAGATCAATAGAGAAGCAGAGAGGGTCGATCGTCCTCAACGTTGAAGATCAACAGTAGCAACGGAAGCAGCAGCGACTTAGTGGGCTTTGACGTCAGGCTGACGCAAGCCTAACGTCAGATGGCCCGACTCTTGGGTCTGTCTATTCTGGGCCGGCCTATTGCCTAACTTGGGCTGGGTGCCAGCCTATTAGGCTGGGGTGGAGCAAAAAAAGGTAGACTGGTCCATTTTTTGAGCTGGGTGCCGGCCTAAAAAGTCTCCGGTGGACTTGCTCTAAGTTCTTCATTTTGAGGAGAGGATCATATGCATTATTGGTTACAAGATTATATTAGTTTATATCCAAAAGCTTATATTATATTAGTTTAAAGCCACAAGATTAATTAAGTTGTCAAATATAAGAAGCATTTGAATCTAAACTAATATAATTTTTTGAATAATATATATTTGGTCCGCACGAGTCTTCAAAATGAGTACTTCAGGAGACCAGGACTCTCAACCCCCACCCCGCTCCCCTTATTCCATGCCCTTTTTTTTTCCTTCAGAAAAGATTCTAAAAAAAGTGATACAAATATCTTTATAAAAATAACAGACAAATTGAATTACACAAAGTAATATAAAATATAGCAAATTATCCGATCTAAGAGAATTCTTGTCATAACTATATAAGAGAATTGCTTATTATATTAACACATATTTACACTGCATCTAGCATAAAAACGTGAGAAGAAACCTTAGATTATTACTAAGTAGTGAGTATTGAAGGAAGCAAATCAGATTTCGACCCGAGAATTCGAGCCTTGGTGTCCGGAAAAAATTCTGTTCCAGGCAACTCCGTGACCTCTCCGTCTTCAGTAACTGCAATGGGGTAGCTAAGCAAATGCCCTGGCAAGTCACCATCTAATGTGTCACATGAATAAAGGTCCCAATGCTGGTCTGCAATTTGGTTCACCTTTCTAAAGCATTCCACATTTTCTGGTTCAAGAAAGGTGTCATCAAGCAGCCCTAAGTGTTCATACCACAACGACATTCTGAGGCCATGAATTTGTCCCCGGGCCGGCTTTCCAGTGGATAGATGGTAGGGTTGGTAGGCTCCCATCGCAATCTCCGAATCCCTGGCTCCATCCATTGATCTCTGGTTGATGTTGGCTGATCCAATGATTATGTACTCATCATCAACTGCAAATTGTTCAAGGCATTTCAAACAGTTCAATTAGTATTTGTTTATGTTGTATACAATCCATGATTCTCTCTGCATGACGTTTGCTCCTTTTTAAAAGGTGGGTATTTGAAGAAAACCACATTTATAATCAATTTTATTCAACTGTGATCACATATATAGAGAGAGTTGTTATGAGTGTAAAATCGTTATTTAGAGCTTTAATTTTAGGTTTTAAGTCTCAGGTTTGGGCGAATCTGAGACTTAAACCTAAACTCAAAGCGATGAATAATCAATCATATCAACAAATGAGATCAAAACAAAAAACATGGATGAGAAATGAGGTTTAACGCATCCGTTCTTTAGGTTAATTAAGAGATCAAATTACTAAGAGTTTGATCGCTCACCTATCATCAACTTGGCATGAACATAGATCATGAACCGCCTTGCTTGCTGCGCTCGACTGTAATCCGAACCATGTTCTGGTTTTTCCGGAGGTTCATATTCTCCGGGTAGCTTCTTCTCGCGGTTACCAAGGCAAAAGAAAGCCAAATAATCCTTAGGGTTTGCC